TACTTCTCAAAATTTTTCTGGCTTTCTAACTATGAGACAAGAGCCATTACAAATTCATTCAAGCTAGTCGTTAACTTTCCCATGGGAATGAAGCTTGTCCTCTGAGTGAAATTGATGCTTCTCAATTCAGAACAGAACGTTATACAGTGTGTCATTTGATAGATGAAATCCTTGACTTTCTATTAGTTATAGTTAATATATAATAAAATGTAAGAGAGAACCATCAACGAATTGTGAAAGAGAGGATGTGGAAGGAGGGGTCTGATTTTCTATTCTATAGCTCTGTAATCAAACAAAATTGAAGACTTTAAAAATTATGGTTTGTCTTAGCAATAATGATTTTATAGAGACCAATTTATGTTTATTTCTGTATTTTTTTGAGGGGGTGTTGAATAAAATATGGATGATGACATGCTAAGAGAAAATGTCATGTAGGTCACACTAGTGGAAATTCAGGATTTTTTTAATTATTCCCTCTTAGAATTAAGAACTTAAACTTGTATAATATTAAAATATGGGTTATTAGCTAAGATTTTATGCTCTTCTAATTGGTATAACATAAACAAAAAGTAGTTTAATAAAATTTTGAAGTAAGACACTAAAACCTTGTGTCTTGTGCAATAAAGGATACTGGGGTGATAGGATTAAATGACCTATAAGAATTAAAGGAAAACGAGGCTACTTTGGGATAATCTGCCTTTGATTTGTTTTCTTCTGTTGATTCCTCGAGTGTGAGATGTTTTTGGATTTTTCCTGGTTGCTTTTGAGCCTGCACCTTACTTGATGACTGAAAAGTCTGGGAGCAAATTTTTAATTTTCTCTCCATACATGGATATTGTGGTTCATGCTGGAAAGTAACTTCTCGGTTACGTGAAGGGACAGTTATGCCTTATTTGACACATTGTCAGAACTTCGTGATTTTGGCTTACCACTGCTAGGTGGAACCATTTTCCGAATAACAAATTATACATTCTGTTCCTTGCATTTTGGAGTTTTAAGATGGAGTTTATAGTTAACCTGAATAGTTCAATATCCCTTAGGGGGACAGTGTAAGTTTATGGACTTACAGCTCTAAAATTCAGCATTTTATTTCCTTTCACTTCATTTTTTGGAAGACTCTTAGGATCACCAACTTCATTGATGAGGAACTGGATCCATTGTTAGCATGCATGTTGGTTCAGTTTTTGGCTTCTACATTCCTTCCTGTTGCATTTCATCAGCTGCTACAGGGGGTCATGGTTCCACCTCTGTTCATGAGTCCTGCCCCCCATCATCAGCCCCTTAGTACATTGGTACAAAGAATAGATTCTGTCTATATCCAAGGGTTCTGCTGCTCAGTCAGATTGCCAGCAGTGTTAATGATTACTGTATATCTTCAGGGTCTGTGGGGGCTCGGCTCCAAGAATTTCTGGATGTATGGTACCCTTTAACTGCATTTTTATACTTCCCGTCATTTTACACTTTATAGTAACCATATGTTTCATTATTTTACAGAATCATGTTTTTCTGTAAAATCCATGTTTTGTTAGGTATTAACAGTAAATTAATTTTCCCTTTTAACACACTTTGAATATTCGATGACGAGGAACCCACTTTGAGACTAATAATGGCTGGAGACGGCTTGAATGGGTAATGAAGAAAAACTTTAATATAAGTTTAACATAACAGCAGATGTACAACGTTTCGACAAGGTTTTGTCATCATCTCCAGCCATTATTACACTTTGAATATGTTTATAGATAGTGAATGTATTGACTTAAATTCAAGTTTATATATACTTTCTGTATCTCACAAAAATGGTGTTGCCCAAAATTTAACGTTCAAAAATATACTGTAAAAAAAATTATTGTTATCTTTTATTTGCTCAAAACAGTTATTGTGGTTTCCTCTCCCTCCAAAAAAATTATGTAAGGAATGAAAGTTGTATTGACATGTTTTGCTGAGATGTTAGCGATAAATAATAATAATATATTGCTTATTCTAAATGTTGTGTAACAGTATAAATGATACAGCTCAGGAACATTCCTAAAAATTTTTTAATCAAATTATATAATATACCTAATGTGCAGTTTCACACAAAAGGAGGATATTTTTTCACATGTATGAATAGTCAGTTAATTAGTTACATATTCAGTGTAAAGTTTTAACTACAGAAATACATATTTTAATTTATAAGATTTAATTTACAGTGCCCTGAGTTTAATGTGATTATAACCAATGGCATTTTGTTTAATACTTTTCATTTGTCCACATAATCAGTATTTGACTACCCAATCAAAGTCTGAAGTTCTAGGCTTAAGTCTAGATCAAGTTATCAGATTTATAACTTTTGACTTAGTTTATTTCTTGTTACTTTGCAGGTGGTGCCTGCTGACTAGACAGTCTAATTAATGGCTTGCAAAAAGAATAATAGTCTAGACGTGTGTTTGTTGTTGTTATTTTCTAAAAATACAAGTGCTAAACTGCTTTTAATGGTGGAATTACATTAAGTTATATCTTATCCCATTAAATGTTATTGTTTTAAGCTGTTTTTAATTTAGGTAAGAGTTGCTTAATAAAATATTTTGCTGAATAATAAATGCAATTTTATGGTGCATAATTTCAAATTGTTGGCTACACAATTTTCATTTGTTGATCTTTGTTGAAGATTTAATTGTTATGATTTTTGTAACTTTTGCTACATAACAAATAAGATAACTATTTCAAACTGTTTAAATTTTTTTTCAAAGTAGTATTTAATGCTGGGAAAATTAAGCACCATTAGTAGTTGAGAAAATCATTCAATATCTTAATTCTAAGCTAGTAATAAACCTTGGTTCTATGACACTAGTTTTTTTTTGTCTTGTCAGCATTACTTATATATTTGTAGTGATTTATTGTCTGTTATATTTTTTCATTACTCACCATTAGTTAACATTTATATAACATTCCATAACTGAGGATTCAGAAAACTTCCTTCTCCACAGATGTATTTGTTATTAAGTGCAGTTTTTGCCACATGTGAACACTTTCGTATGTATTTTAATTTTTTGTTACAATTCAGACTGATACATTAATATAAGCATGCTGTGCTAGATAACTATGTTTGGAATAATGCAAATAAAACATATTTATACAGTGTTTTATTTATAAAGACTATTGTTTACTTTGTATCAAAATAAAAAATTGAAATGTTCCTTTTTAAAAATGTCTTAATAGGTAAAAAATAGTTTTGCTATCATAGTATATTATTTAAACGACTAATAAGAAGGTATAATATCATCAAAATAGAGATGTTCAATTGACAATTTAATAGCTGAAATAGTAAGAGGATAAAGTTGCAGAGTAGTTATAACTGATGATGAACATATTTATAGTTAATTTATGTCTTTCTCCTGTAGCTTGTTCCACCCTGGATAGCTCCAAACCTACTAACTTTTGTTGGGTTTTTATTGACGGTTACAAATGCTCTGTTACTGGCCTTCTATGACTATAGTTTCTGTGCCTCAAGTGATGATTATCCAAATTACCCCCCAATTCCTTCCTGGGTGTGGATTGTGTGTGCTGTAAACCATTTCCTAGCCCATACTTTAGGTGAGTACCTAGATGTTGTTTCTGCCTTGCTATGGGTGTGAGGTGTGTATGCTATATCCCACTTCCCAGCTCATTCTTTTACCCTATTTGGACAGCAGAGCAGCTGTGAGGTGTTGAGTGCACACCTGCTTATTAATTTTCAAGATTTAAATAAAAATATTACTTTTAACTCTTATTTGAACAATTTTTAACTCAAGAATATTTTAGAATTGATATTTTGTTATTATGTAATATTTATTTAGTGCAATTTGCAAAGAAAAATTAAAAAATTACAACTTTTATATCTTTACAGCCCTGAGGAGTTTAGCCTATAAACATTTATCTATTTCTTTAAAATTCATCTGTCCATCCCAAAGTACGGGCTTATATTTGCTAAGAAACTATCTTATCTAGAAATTATAATGATTCATGTCACATCTTCCAACTGATTTTCCTTTTCTTTTAGTGGTCTGTTTTACTACAGCACTTCTTTGCCACTCTTTTATGATGACACAGCATGTGGTGTGAACAATTAAGCCAGGATTATTTTATTTTTCATTTTATGATCCTGCCAACTTTAAAATTTTGATTTAAAAAAACAATTTGCATTTCCATCTTTTCTTATTTCTGACACGGGATTTCATGTTTCAGAGAAGAAAAAAAAAGATAGTATTTGATTTCACTTTTTTATTTAAATTTCAGAGGTGGCATTTCTCTTGTGAGAAACAAATTGAAAGTAGTACAGTAAAATGATTAAACATTGCGGCAACACATATACTGTAATACTTTGAGAAATTTGTGCTATTTTTACGTACAAACATGCACCACAATCTTTGGTGCATATTTTTACAATGCTATTTCACAAATTAAAAAAAGCAATCAGTTAAGGTATTTTTCACTGAACAGAGCAGATGAAACAATAGTGCGTCTTGCGAGTCAAGTGCAAAATGGTGGTATAGATATTGTAAGATATTCAATATAAAAAATTAATTTGGATGAAACCATTGGTGTCTTGATAGGCCAAACACTGAATGAAGGTGAGAATGTTGCAGTCAGAGGATTTCAGACACTTAAATTACATGTACTTTACTAACTGATGGTACAATTTTATTTTTATTTTTGTTCCCTCCTCCAACCTCTAGCTTCATTGGAAAATTTTTAAAAAATTAAGAATAAAAAAAACCCCTTACTAATGAATTTGAGCTTTGAAAGTAATTAGTGCCTTTTGCTGAATAAAGGTTGGATAGAGTAGATTATGTTCTATTTACATCAGTTTAGAGTAAAGAAAGTGAGTTTGAGCAGTAATTTGTGGCTTCTTAACATGGTGACTTCCTGGATCGCCTGTAGAAGTAAGAAAGAATCTTATGTGAAGTTTAAAGGACTGTAACAAACCACAGATTTTAATTTTTTGTAGTTTCTTTAGTTTAATTATTTCTGTTTGAAAGCCACATATATATATATATATATATATATATATATATATATATATTATTAACGTAAAGACATGACATAAGTACTTTATTTTAATTTAATTTTTAACTAAGTACGTAGGTTAAAGTAGAGTAGGACTAAATTATTAA